TGTCGCCCCCCGCTGGCGACGGGACCCCGCGCCCGGCGTCTTGCCAGGCCGGGGCGGCCTCGGCCGCTGCTCCGGCGGGGGCCCGGCCGCCCGCGGCGCGGCCCGCGGACAGGCGCTCTCCGCCGTCCAGCTCGGCCCTGCGCCTCTTGCGTGCCCCCCCCCTCCTCCCTCCTTCCTCCTTCCTCCTTCCTCCTTCCTCCTTCCTCCTTCCTCTTCCTCTTTCCTCCTTCCTCTTCCTCCTTCCTCCTTCCTCCTTTCCCCTTCCTCCTTCCTCCGTCCTCCTCCTCCTTCCTCCTTCCTTCCTCCTCCACTCCTTCTCCTCCTCCCTCCTCCCTCCTCCCTACCTCCTCCTCCGCCTCCTCCTCCTCCTCCTCCTCCTCCTCTCCACCTCCTCCTCTCCCTCCTCCCTCCTCCTCTCCTCCTCCCCCCTCCTCCCTCCCTCCCCCTCCTCCCTCCTCCCTCCTCCCTCCTCCCTCCTCCCTCCTCCCTCCTCCTCCTCCTCCTCCTCCTCCTCCTCCTCCTCCTCCTCCTCCTCCTCCTCCTCCTCCTCCCTCCTCCTCCTCCTCCTCCTCTCCTCCCCTCCTCCCTCCTCCCTCCCTCCTCCCTCCTCCTCCTTCCTCCCTATCCTCCTTCTCCTCCTCCTCCTTCCTCCTCCTCCCCTCCTCCTCTCCATCTTCCACCTCCCCCTCCTCTTCCTCCTCCTCCTGCTCCTCCTGCTCCTCCCCCTCCTCCCCCTTCCCCTCCTCCTGCTCCTCCTCCTCCTCCGCCTCCTCCTTCAACGCCCCTGCCTGGTCTCGGGTTTCGTCGCCGCCGCTGCCCCCGGCCCCGCTGCCCCCTGGCGCTGCCCCATCTTCGGGGGGGGGTCTGGGGGGTCTGCTCTGGATGGGCACCAACAATTCGGGCGCACGCCGACGTGCATCAAGGATCCGTGCATCTGGCGCGCGGGCGCCAGGTCCACGGGTCGGGAAAAGCACCCGCGAAAAATTGATGCCAATTCGGCCTCATTTGGCGACGGAATGCACCGATTCTGAATGGAAACGGGACGCGCCGCTAGTCCATCACCCCTAATCCATGCCCCACTGCCCTTTGGCGGTAGTCCATCTTGGAGGCGGCTGTGGATCTGCTTTGGATGCAGCAAATCGGATCGGGAAATCGGATCGGATCGAAATGGTGACCGTTTTTCTTTCTTTCCCTGGTAACGGTCATTATCTGGTGGGGGGCGGGCGGGAGGGTAACGGTAATGGCGGCCGCGGCGTGGACCCGCCAGGGTGCGTCCGCGTCGCCAGCGCATCAATCGCCTATGTGCACCACAGTCCCTGTGTACACGACAATGCCCAATGCCTGCGCGCAGCACAGCGCCTAGTGTGTACACAAAAAATGCCTTAGTACACCACGACAGCCACGTGCACCGCAGCACCACTTCGTCTATGTACACCGCAGTGCCTGTGTATACTGCTAAGAACGATGAGGACGACGACTGCGGCGGTGGCGGCCGTGGCGGCGACCGGCGAAGGGGTGCTGGCGGCGGCGAAGACCCCCAGAGACAACGGCGGCACTCCCGCCTAGCCGAAAGCCGCTCGATATCGGTCCCCCGACCCGCCGCCCTCCGAATAGGGCACCTTAGCAGTGAGTCCGCCTGACCTATGCGGACACCAATTGCAAGCGCCACAACACGCATGCGAGCACTGGAACATGCCTTTTAACATCACGCCATGCCTGTGAGCTCGGCGTCGCAACATCTGGGGAGCCTGCGAGCGCCACAACACGTGTGTGAGCACTCTCCAGGCTGGAACTAATGACGTCCCGCCGCACCCCCCACTTGGCTCAAAAGCCCCATCCCGCTTCCTCGACTTATGAGGAACATCCTGGAGACCTCGCACGGCAACTCGAGACGCACTTCGCGTCGGATCCACGTCGGATGTCCGTCGGACGTGCGCCGGAGCATCGCCGCGTGAGCGTCCCCCCCATGCCTTACGCGGCAGCAGCGCGGACCAGATGATCGAACACACAAAACTGTGGCGCGCCACGCGAAGCCTCCAACATTTCCCTCCTGACCGACCCCCTCCCGCTCGAACAGCTTCGACATGCGCGTCCAAAGCCCTTGCATCCTCATTGCGCACCCTCACTCACAACTTTGACCGTGTCGCCACTGGGCTCCCCTTGGCTGGCAACAAAAAGGTGCGGCGCGGCACGCGGCGACGAGCAACGAGAGCGAACAGGCAGGAGTCCCGACTGCAGCCGCCGCGGGCCCTCTCTTTCTCTCATTCTCTCTTCCTCCTCTCTCTCTCTCGCCCTCCCGCTTTGTTCACCGCTCCCCCCTCCTCCTCCTCTCTCTCTCTCTCTCTCTTCACAATTACTCAATATGAATGCTACTCTCCCTCTTCCCCTGATGACGTGCTGGGAGTGTTCGCGCCCCCCCCCCCCCCACCGCGTCCTGCTTTTTTACACACAGGATTCCCGGGAGTTGGGTTTTCGCCTGCATTTTTTTCAAAATGCTGCTCTCGCTGAGGCGCGGGCCTCATTTTCGGGCCGCGCTCGTTCCGAATTGTGCTCCCGCTGCAGCGTGGGTCTCATTTTCGGATCGGTGTTTTGCCTCCGTCGTTCAGGATGGCGTTCTCGCCCCAGCGCGGGCCTCTTTCTCGCGCGCCCATCCGCCCGCCACCACCGCACCGCGCCCCGCCCCGCCCACCGCCACTTCCACCCACCAACGCACGCACGCACGCACGCACGCGCACCGCCACCACCACCCCACTACCCCACTCACCACCACCACGCTACACCGCGTCACACCACATCGCACGCGCGCGCACACAGACACACACGCACGCACACACACATACACACGCACACACACACACACACACGCACACACACCACCACCACCACGTCCACCACCACCACCGCCATCACGCACGCACGCACCTGGCCCACCACCAAACCACCAAGACGCCACACCACGTCACACCACAGCACACGCGCACACACGCACACACACACACACGCACACCACCACCACCACCACCACCACCCCACCACCACCAACCACCACCACCACCACCACCACCACCACCACCACCACCACAACCACGCACACACGCACGCACGCACGCGCACCACCACCCACTACGCACGCGCGCGCGCGGAGCCACAGGTCCGCTACGACACGCGTCCGCGGATAGAGAAAATCGGCGCCATGGTGAGGGATGGGAGGGAGGGGTAGGACGTCAGATATGACGCGAGCGCACATAGCTTGTCTCTTCCCCCTCCTCCTCTCCCCCCTCCTCCTTTCTCTCTTCCTCCTCTCTCTCCCTCGCTCTGTTCACCGCTCCCCCCCCCCTCCTTGGCCCGAGCGCCCGGCCCCCACCCTGCCGTTCGCTGCGGCAGGGCGGGGCGAGGGGGACGGGGGGGGGGAAGTCGCGCCCGCCTCTCCCGCCGCCCTGCGCTCCAGCTGCCGCCCACCCCCTCCCGCGGTGGGTTGCTTTTTTGACTCGTTTCTGGCAGCGGTCGTTGCCCGAGGGGTTCGGCGTCTCCAAACGGGGGTGCGATGCAGTCGAACCGTAGAAGAAGGACCCACGATAAGGATGCAGGGGCCTTGGACTGCCAGGCCGATACTCTGCGGGCGGGGCGCGGCTAGCGAACGCGGCCAAGCGTTGGGAGAAGGGGAAGGATGCAAGGGTAACCCTGGGAAGTTGCCCATCCTTGCCACGCGGGTTGACTTATGGCTTTTTCGAGCCAGGCGGCTGTCATCGATTTCGGCCTTCCTGGCCGTCGTCTGACGGTCTTAGGCGCTTTCTGGCGTTCCTTAGCGGTTTCCAGCGGTCATCGGCGCGAAAACTGGATGGTTGCGTTCACAAAGGGGTCCATGATCCATCACCTACTCTGGGTTTAAAACAAGCGTGGGGGGTTGCCCCTCCGACGGGGGTCAACCTCGCCTCGTCGTCGCGCCGCGACGGGGGTCGGAGCGCCTTCGGCGCGCGGTGGCTGCCCGCGACGGAGGTCGATGTGGGGCTGTCGGCGGGGGTGACGCCCCCCCGACGCTTACTAAGAAACTTGGAGTAACTTGTGGAGGCCTCCCAACGGGCAACCTTGGACAAATTGCTCATCCTTTCTAGGGAATCGAACTCTATGCGCCGATGCTTGTTCTGGCCCTGCATTGGAATTTGCACTGGAGAGCAGATCCTGGCGTATGCGGGACCCTGGTGTCATGTTTCGTTGTTTTCCCAGGATATCGGGGAAACAAGTATACACCACACCACCCCGGCGTCGTCCTCGACCCTCGAGAAGTCCTGAGATTGAAAAACAGCGCGCCACTGGTAATATTATAGATGTTACAGTTTCCGACTGTGCATGGGGGGGGGGGGGGCAACGTGCACCTGCTGTGCCCCTTCTGGGCCCCCGGGGGGGCCCCTTCACAGGGCAGGAGAGGTGCACTTTGCTGCAACTCACCCCCCATGGCGCAACGCCCGAGGGCCGCGAGGTGAAGGGTTTGGCCCCAATAGCGACCGTTACGCGCCAAAGACTAATAGCAACAATCGCCTCACGTTCTGGCCTACACGCTGCCTCTTGCTGCCCCCCAAGCACCAGACTAAACAAAACAGAGCCAGGACCAGGACAAAATCGGACCGGGATAGCTCGGGGGCCTCTGAGATCCAGCGGCTCTGCAATATTCGGGGATGGACAGACCCCCCTTTAGTAAAACGTGGTTTAGCGAAAACCACCTGAGGCCCAAACCTGGCGGGCGCAAGCCTGGAAAATAACGGCCAAGGCGCCCTCTCGAGAACCGAAAACGGATAACCCACTAATCGACGTGTCACTGTTGGGGGTTCTGTCCACCCCCGAAGTACGCGTTGGGCACACCGGCGGTTCCCGAGCGCTCCGGGACGCTCTGAGAAGGTTCCGGAGCGCTCTGGAGCTGATCCCGGCCCTGGGCCCGCCCGTCTGCCTCCCCCTATAGCTCCCCCCTCTTCCTCACAGGCTCCCCCCTCTCAAGACTTGGGGACTCCTCTGTGAGACACCTGAGAGGGCGAGAGAGCTAGAGCCTCTTTGAGGGCCAACGATAGGGGGGGATAGAGATAGGATGGGGAACATCGACCTGGCATCGGCGATACATCGCCATCGCCGATCGATCGGCGACAGGCCTCCGACAGCGAATCCGCACCTTCCTGGGCAGGTTGTGGCTACCGGGCCCCTATCGGTGATCCATGGGCGATTGGGGGTCGATGCGTCCGCCCAAAAAAGCCTATCCCCCCCTATCGTTGCCCCCGGCTCTAAGAGCCCTCTCACTGGACACTCGCTGCGAGTCCTCTGTGAGACTGACCCGCCCCGCCTCGGATCACGGGGCGGTGCCCGGTGCCCGAGCGCTGGCCCGTCAAGACCGCCCGCTGGCAATCAGAAGCGCACGGTCCGCGCTGCTCGTCACGGCGTGATGCGAGCTGGCGGTATCGGGATTTTCTTTGCTCGCGGAGCTCCAGCTGCTATGACCGATGGGCGAGGAGAGAGCCTCGACCCGAAAGGCAACTGATTGCAACGAACATATGTGTGCTTGACGCTGCAGGACGACCGGTAGAGCTCCGCTGTAGCCAGATGGCACAACGGGACTGAAAGACCCTCGTGTCGGGTGACAAGGGGGAGAAACCTCAACTGGCCCTGGAAACGACAAGGCCGTTTCTTTGCCGTTTCTGTTTCGCTCAAGCGTCGATTTTTCCATACCTAGGCTCTGCCTAGAAGGGTTCTTACTCTCTTAGCTTAAAGGGCCGGGCAATGGAAACCGCCCCGGGCGGTTCCCCCAGTCCCCGCCCCGCGGTTCCCCCAGTCCCCTGGGAGCTTTAGCCTTAGCTTTAGCTTTAACTTAGCTTTAGCTTTAGCTTTAGCTTAGCTTTAGCTTAGCTTTAGCTTAGTGTTAGCTTAGCTTTAGCTTAGCTTTAGCTTAGTGTTAGCTTAGTGTTAGCTTAGCTTTAGCTTAGCTTTAGCTTAGCTTCAGCTTAGCTTTAGCTTAGCTTCAGCTTAGTGTTAGCTTTAGCTTTAGCTTAGCTTTAGCTTAGCTTTAGCTTAGTGTTAGCTTAGCTTTAGCTTAGCTTCAGCTTAGCTTTAGCTTAGTGTTAGCTTTAGCTTTAGCTTAGTGTTAGCTTAGTGTTAGCTTAGCTTTAGCTTAGCTTCAGCTTAGCTTTAGCTTAGTGTTAGCTTAGCCTTAGCTTAGCTTTAGCTTCGATTTAGCTTAGCTTTAGCTTAGCTTCAGCTTAGCTTCAGCTTAGTGTTAGCTTAGTGTTAGCTTAGCTTTAGCTTAGCTTTAGCTTAGCTTCAGCTTAGCTTTAGCTTAGCTTCAGCTTAGCTTTAGCTTAGCCTTAGCTTAGCTTTAGCTTCGATTTAGCTTAGCTTTAGCTTAGCTTTAGCTTAGCTTCAGCTTAGCTTCAGCTTAGTGTTAGCTTAGCTTTAGCTTAGCTTTAACTTAGCTTCAGCTTAGCTTCAGCTTAACTTTAGCTTAGCTTTAGCTTAGTGTCAGCTTAGCTTTAGCTTGGCTTTAGCTTAGCTTCAGCTTAGCTTTAGCTTAGCCTTAGCTTTCGCTTAGCTTTCGCTCAGCTTCAGCTTAGCTTTAGCTTAGCTTTCGCTTAGCTTTCGCTTAGCTTTAGCTTTGCTTCAGCTGAGCTTTAGTTTAGCTTTAGCTTAGCTTTAGTTTAGCTTCAGCTTAGCTTTAGCTTAGCCTTAGCTTAGTGTTAGCTTAGCTTTAGCTTAGCTTTAGTTTAGCCTTAGCTTAGCTTTCGCTTAGCTTTCGCTTAGCTTCAGCTTAGCTTTAGCTTATCTTTAGCTTAGCTTTAGCTTAGTGCTAACTTAGCCTTAGCTTAGCTTTATCTTAGCTTTAGCTTAGCTTCAGCTTAGCTTTAGTTTAGCTTTAGTTTAGTGTTAGCTTAGCCTTAGCTTAGCTTTAGCGTAGCTTCAGCTTAGCTTTAACTCAGCTTTAACTTAGCTTTAGCTTAGCTTTAGCTTAGCTTTACTGTTACTACTAATGCTGCTTTCCTAGGGGCTCCAACTCCTAGGTAGGGTCGCACTGGGATAATTTCCCAAATCCGTCGCCGCGTTTTGCCGATTCCAATTCCAATTTCAATCCCGGAACCGTTCTCTTGCCGTTTCTTGTTGCCGTTTTTGTTATGGCTTCCATTGTCAAGAAATACTTTTCTGGAAACGGTGAAGAAACGGGCCTGCCGTATCCGCGGCCAACTAAGGGACGGACGGAGGGGCGGACACCACGTCGAGTAAGGCTCGCACCAGAAGGCTGGGTGGTCAGCGCAGCAGCGCTCAGGCGTCCTCGTCGTCGCTCGCACATAATGCAACTTCAAGGTCATGCCATGCCTGAACGTCGATTGTACTCTCTCTCTCTCTCTCTCTTCTGAATGAGGACTGGGGTGAGTGCATGGGAGAAGAGCGCGTCTTGTGCCAAGTGGCCACTAGTACATGCCGCCTTAGATAATTTGCTGCCGATCCCCTGTAGCATACACTGCACGAGCGTATTTGGAATCTCAGCGACGCAACATAATGTCGCACGACGAACCAACCAATGCGCCAAGCATGCGGTGCTGATCGCATGCCTGGCGGGAACTCGTTTCCACAGTTCTTTCTGGAACAACATATCGTTGGGGTGGGGGTGCGGGGGCGTGGGGGTGGTGACACGCACAGCGACTTCCAGGGGCAGTCCTCGTGCTACCACAGGGAGCACCAGCCAAGGAGCAGAGGGGGCCGCGCTGGCCAGGAGGAGGAGGAGGAGGAGGTGGAGGAGGAGGAGGAAGAAGAAAAGGAGGAGGAGGGGGATAAGGAGGAGAGGGGAGGGGGAGGGGGAGGGGGAGGAGGAGGGGGAGGAGGAGGAGGAGGAGGAGGGAAGGAGGAGAGGAGGAGGAGGAGGAGGAGGAGGAGGAATAAAAGGAGGAGGAGGAGGCGGAGGAGGAGGAGGAGGAGGAGGAGGAGGAGCAGGGCCCCCAACATAGACCTGAGGAGCGGCCCGCGGACCCGAGCCGCCCCCGCGGTCCTTCTTGCGGCGTTTTGGCTGCAGACCTTTTCGAGCCTGGGCGCCAAGGGGCCCAATCGCGCGCGGCGTGCGGGGCCCTGCGAGCTCGGGGGCGCCCTCCGGTGGTGCGCGGCCTCGCGGTCCTCTCCCGCACCCCGCGCCCCTGGAGTGCTCCCAGGCCGCCCGACTTCGCGCCGCGTACCCCTCGCCATCGCTCGGACGTCCATTCCCTGTTTTTTTTTCGGTTTCGTGCTTGGTTTTCTCGCTAAATGATCCAGGATGTTCCTTAGGGGTCCTCGCCGACAAAAAAAAACACACGTCCGAGCGATGCCAGGTCTCCCGCACCCCCGCGCCCCAGGGATGCTCCCAGGCCGCCCGGCTTCGCGCCGCGTGCCCTGCGGTGCGCCAGCATCCTCGGGTCCTCGCGCCGCTCAAGGCTGGGCATGCGATCAACAGTGTGCAGCAGACGTCGCATCTGCTGCCAACCATTGCTTCAATCACATCTTACCGCCCTCGCATCACACAAGTGGACAAGGGTGACCGCTCTGGCCCAGACCGCGCTTTTTCTGCCCTGTCGGCGCCACCTGCTCATCCCATCTTCCGCGCCAGCGGCCATCGCAACGTGCGACGCCGTCGCCACCCAGAAGCGGGCGAGTGTAGGGCGAGACTGATGTCATGATCCGATTGGATCAGGGTGCCTTCCAGGGTTGCCAGCGCGTCCAGCGGCCCTCGTTCTTGCCGCCCGTGTGGAACATTAATCGGGGTTGGACAGAACCCCCAACAGTGACACGTCGATCAGTGAATTGTCCGTTTGCGGTTCTCGAGAGGGCGCCGTGGTCGTTCATTTCCAGGTTTGCGCCCGCCAGGTTTGGGCCTCAGGCCGTTTCCACGAAACCACGTTTTGCTAAAGGGGGGTCTGTCCATTCCCGAATTGAAAAACATGGGGCACTCCGGAGACCCCTGGACCGTATGCCTCTCGTGACCTCTTGCTCCTCCGAGGGTGGGCTGCTGGCGCGCACGTGCGGCGCGGCGGGGCGGGCGGACCCCACAGGACGGGCGGGGTGAGGCTCGGCGGGGGCGGGGCTCCTGCACGCAAGACAACACGAGGGGGCGAGGCCCAGGAGCAGATGCAGGGGCCCAGGGACACATACACAAACAAATGCACACGCGCACACAGGTCCCAGGATCCCCTTCTGTGTCTTGTCTTCCCCCCCACACTGCCCATATTTTCCTGCTGGGGATCGACGGTCAATGGTGTCTGTGTGCTTTTCTCCTCTCCTGAGCAGCGGCCCAGGAGGGGGTGGGGCCTGGGGGTGTGCCACCCCGGGGCCTCCAGAAGTCCACTCCTGCAGCACCTCCCCCTCCAGCTCTGGACGCAGCGCGAGGCGCAACACCGCCGACGTCGGCGAGAGCAAAGCACGAGTGGAAAAACGAACGGGGCGCCTCCTGCGTGTGGATCGAATCACCGGCAGCAGCAGGTGGCGCAATTCCTCTAGACGCCCTGGACGAGGCGCTCGATCTGTTCCAGCTGCTGCATCTGGTTCTTCTGCGGAGGCGGAGGGCAGCAGGAGGAGGCATGGGGAGCGAGGGCGGAACGAGGAGAGAGAGACGCCTAGACAGAGCGAGGAAGCAGGACGAGAGAGGGCGGGAGGGATGCGTGAATCGGTCAATCAGACAAGAGGCGGAGACAAGGTGAATCTGATGCTGTTTAGTGTTGGGCTCCGCTCAGGATCGTCAGAAGATGCACTCAGGACGACGGGAAAGAAACGAACGGTGATGCACATGAAGGGCACAAAGAGACGGCGAAAAAAACGAATGCGATGATGTCTCTGCGGGCCAGATGGCACCTGGCCCTCGATAATTCAGCTGATTTGGCGGCGCGCACAAGGGGCTAGGCTTCACAGGAGACTGCTTCTTTGAAGGCGCCAGCCCTACCTCTCCAGATGAGGCCCGCGCCTTCGAAGAAGCAGGGGCGCTTTTCAGAAACCTTCCTCCCTCCCCCGACCCCCCTCTGCGCGTGGCGTCGGCTTTCGGGCCACTACTCGGGCCTCAGCTGGCCCTTTGGGACGATCCAGGTAAAACAAGGTTAGGATCGGGATAAATCGCTCCAAAGCGTTCCGGAGCGCTCTCAGAGCGCTCTGGAGCGGCCGCGGCGCCCAATGCATCCTCCAAACCCGCCGATTCTCAGAGATTTCGAGTTATCCCGATCCGATTTTGCCCCGACCTTCGCGTCGTTTTAAAACCGGGCACCCCTGCAACGCTCTCGGCGAGGCGCAGGTGCTGGCGAGCGCCCCCCGAGGCTGGCACACCGCCGAGACCGAGCGAACACCGCCGAAAAATCCGACGACGACCCTCCCGCTACGCGTGGCTGCACGTTGCCGAGCCGCCGGCTCAGACTCCCTGGCCTTCGGGCCGGCCGGACGCCGCGTGCGCTCCTGCACGCGGCGTCCGGCCCGGCCGGCGGAGGAGAGGAGGAGGAGGAGGAGGAGGAGGAGGAGGAGGAGCAGGAGGAGGAGGAGGTAGGAGGAGGAGCAGAGCAGGAGGAGGAGGAGGAGGAGGAGGGGAGGAGGAGGAGAGGAGGAGGAGGAGGAGGAGCAGGAGGGAGGAGGAGGAGCAGGAGCAGGAGGAGGAGGAGGAGGAGGAGGGAGGAGGAAGGACGCCGCGTTCGCTTCTCGGGAGCGGCAAGAGGGGGGTGTCCAAGAGGGGGGGGTGCAAATCATGGCCGGCGGCGTGTGCGCGGCCAGCAAGGGGGGGGCAGGGACGTCATGAAACAAGCAGAGGCGCTACGAGATCTGGGGAGACATCATGGCCCCCGCCATGATATCCCCCCCCCCTAGTCATCACCCCCCTCTTTTCCGCCCCCGACTGGAGGCGAGCAGGGTGTGTCTTGGCATGGGTCTTCACTGCAGATGTGCGCTCCACCGCTTCCTGCCCCCACCCCTGGCGCTGCTCCATCTGTCCCCCCTGGGCTGCCGCCCCCGCACCGTCTCCCATGGGCCTCCTCGGGAGCCTCCTCGGGACGTCGAACGGCGGCGGCGAGAGCGTCTCAAAAGGAGCGCCCGGGCCGCGCCTTGCAGCGGAGGAGCGCCGAGCACCCGCAGAGGAGCGCCCGGGCCGCGCCGTGGCAGCGCGCTCTGCGAGTCGTGCGCGGCGTGCCGAGCTGCCCCGCCGCGCGCTGCCACGGCGACTGCGCTTAGTGAAGGGGCCCCAGGACACACAAATAAATACACACACAAAATAAACATATCGCCCATATTTTCTCATATTTTCTGGGTTTCTGCCTTCCCCCCCACTTCTCATCTTTTCCCATATTTTCTGAGAATCGCCGATTAATTGTGTCTGTGTGTTTTTTCCCCTCCTGACTTAGGTCGGGCATGTCCTCCTACAGGCGGATTTTGGACGAAACAATTCAAGACATAGTCAAACAATAACCAGACAGACTTCTAAAATGATCATCAAAAAAGGCCACGTGCTATTCTCTGACAGTTTGAATACTCTTCCTGTGGAGGGGCATGCCCGACCTCACCCAAGGCCCAGACGGCGCTCCACGAGCGCAGGTTGCAGCAGCGGGCCGCCGGCGCGTGCAGAAGCCGCTGCGCCTGGCGGGGAGCGCCGCGGGCCGGCCGCTGCCGTGCCCGCTGCTGTCCAGGCCGACGCGGCCCAACGCAGCGGCCGCTGGTGGCCCAGGGTCGCGCCGGCGCGCAGCGGGGCGCCCCCAGGAGAGGCGCTGCAGCAGAGGCCGTCGGCGAGCGGGAGGTGCAGCCTGATTAGTGCGAGGGCCTGTCCGGCTGGTAGTTCTACTACTACGACTGCTACTACTACGACGTCGACGGCGACGACGCCGACTACTACACTACTACTACTACTACTACTACTACTACTACTACTACTACTACTACTACTACTACTACGACTACTACGACTACTACTACTACTAATACTACTACTACTACGACTACGACTACGACTACGACTACTACTACTACTACGACGACTACTACTACTACTACTACTGCGACTACTACTACTACTACTACTACTACTATTACTACTACTACTACTACTACTACTGCTGCGACTACTACGCCTACTACTACTACTACCACTACTACTACTACTACTACTACTACTATTACTACTACTACTACTACTACTACTACGACTACTACTACCTACTGCGACTAGAACGGCTACTACTACTACTGCTACTGCTACTGCTACTACTACTACTACTACTATGACTGCTACTAGTACTACTACGACTACTACTACCTACTGCTACTGAAACTACAGATACTAGTACTACGACTACGACTACGACTACGACTACAACTACTACAACTACAACTACTACTACTACTACTACTACTACCACTACTGTTACTGCTATTACTACTACTACTACTACTATTACTACTACTTCTTCTACGACTGCAGCGGAACCTGCTACTTTTACTGCGAAGAGGACTGCGATTTTTATTACTACTACTACTACTACCAGTACTAACACTACTTCTACGACTACTACTACGACTACGACTACGACGACTACTACTACTACTACTACTAGTAGTAGTACAGGTGCTACTACTACTGCTACTGCTACTACGACGACTACTACTACTCTACTACTACGACGGCGACTACGACTACGGCGGCTACTACTACTACTAGTACTACGACAACAACTACTACTACTACCACTACTACTACTACTACTACTACTACTACTACTACTACGACTACAACTACTATTCCTACTACTGCCTGTACGACTACCACTACGACTACTACTACGACGACTACTACTACTACTACTACAACCCCTACTACTACTACTACTACTACTAATACTATACCACTACTACTACTACTGCTACTACTACTACAACTACGATTACGATTACTACTACTACTACCACTACTACTACTACTACTACTACTACTACTACTCCTACTACTACTACTACTACTACTACTACGACTACGACTACGATTGATATCATTACTACTACTACTACTACTGATACTACTTGTGCGACTACCACTACGACTTCTACTACTACTACTACAACTACTACTACTACATACCCTACTACTTCTACTACTGCGACTACTACTGCTACTGCTAATACTGAACGTACTACCACGACGACCATTTCTACTACTACTACTACGTGTACGACGACTACTACTACTACTCCGGCGACTACTAGTACTACGGATACGATTACTACTACTGCTTCTGCTACTACTACTACTACTGCTACTCCTGCGGCTACAACTACGATTACGACTCCGATTGCGACTGCAACGGCAACTACTACTACTACTAGACTACTCTTACTACTTCAACAACTGCTGCTATAACTACTGCTACTACTACGGCTACGACTACGACGGCTACTACTACTACTACTACTACTACTACTACTATTACTACTACTACTACTACTGCTACTACTACTACTACTCCTCTTACGGCTACAACTACGGCTACTACTAACGACTACTAATACGGCTACGGCTAGGACTCGGACTACGACTACAGCTACTACTACTACTACTGCTACTACTACTACCACTGCTACTTCTTCTGCTACAACTGCGACTACCACTGCTACTACTGTTATCACTACTACTACCACGACTACGACTACGCCTGCTACTACACCTATTAGTAAAACTACGACTCCTCTTACTACTACTACTACTACTACTACTACTACTACTACTAGTATTACTACTACTACTACTACTAGTACTACGGCTATGACTCCGATAACGACTACCACTAAGACTACCACTACTTCTTCTCCTGCTACCACTTCTGCTACTAATGCGACTACGGCTGCTGCTACTACTCCTACTCCTACTACTTCTTCTTCTACTACTACGACACTACTACTACTACTACTTCTTCTACTACTACTACTGCTGCTACTACTACTGCTACTTCAACGACTGCAGCTTCGACTACTTCTGCGACTGCAACTACTACTACTACGACTGCGATTCCTACTACTACTACTACCACTACTACTACTACTACTGCTACTACGGCACCTACTACTACGAGCACGACTTCTACTGCTACGACTACTGCTGCTACTGCCACTACTACGGCTGCGAATGCAACAGCGACTACCAATACGACTACGGCTACTACGACACCCACTACTACTACGACTACTACTACTACAGCTAGTACTACTTCTACAGCTTCAACTACGACTGCGAAAACCATCACTACTACTATTACTTCGACTACGACTGCGGCTACCACTACTAACACGACTACCACTACTACTACTACTACTACTACTACTGCTACTACTACTACTACTACTACTGGCACTACTACGACTACGACAACGGATATTACGACTACGACTACTACTACTACTACTAGTACTACTACAACGTCGGCTACTACTACCACTACCACTACCACTACCACTACTACTACTACTACTACTACTACTACTACTACTATTAGTAGTAGTAGTACGACTACCACAACTACTATTACCACTGCCATTACTG